TTGCCAAATTGCAAGACACAGGTGGTTTCTGGTAATTAGGAGTTTCTGAAGGAACCAGAAACTTATAGTTCTTAAGATGGCTTTGTCTAAGCCAATATTTCTAATGGCTCCCAACAGGATAAAAGTCCTGCTTATTTTGCTCAAACTTCAGCAGAAAGGCCTTCCATGTCACTCTGAGAGAACCTCACCTGAGGATCTCCCTTTTTTGGTCAGCAGCTGCTAACAATGCCCCAGTGCTAAGCTCAGAACTCCCCTTTACTGCAGCCACCCGCTTGTGTGCACTCTTGTGTTGAGCAGTGCCGGAGTCCATTCATTGTCTTTACTAGCTGGGTTTGGACAGAGATCCCCCCAAAAAGGCTAGTAACCTTTGAAGTTCTAGTAAAGGTCAGAACTGTGAACTACCCAGTTAATTTAAGTAATAATGGTTGAAGCATCTCCACCTTAGTTCACTTAATTCCTTAGGTACTCATGTAGATTTTTGTTGATTATTGTTGATCAGGTACTTCTGGAGATCTGTTGATGAGTTAATCAGGTACTCTGCCTATTCCTGAAAATTGTCTGCTGATGTGTGTCATTAAAACCTCCTTACCCTAAGGGCTACTCCAGATGAATAAAAGCTTGGTGAGACCTGAGCAAAGCAGGAGGAAGTCTTTCCTGAGAAGGAAGTCTTTCCGGACTTGCCCGCCTGGTCCCCCGGTATTGCAAAATTGTCTTGTGTCTCTTTCTTTCATTTGTTGTGCGGCTCTTCTTTCAGATACCGAACCCTACTCCATGCGGGTCGTGGAAGGAATCACTCAGCAGAGCAGTGAAAGCTAATCTGGAAAATGTAGTGAAATCTGAAAAGCACACCAGGGTCTGTGTGCAAGGGAGAAACCACACACGAGCTATAGCACCACCTTCTGGAAAACAAAAGAAGTTTCCAGTAGTCAGCCTGTGTGTTGTAAGAACTAGAGATAACTTAAAAGCTTAAGAATTCTGAAAAGCAGGAATTCAAATCAAGGAAACACATCATCACCAAAAAACAATAATTTTCTAATAACCTAGCTTAAAGTCATGGAATTTTGTGACTTAGCTGACAAGAAATCAAAATAACTTTTTTTAAAAACTTAAGAAGCAACAAGACAACTCAGAAAGAAAATTTAACAAAATCAGGGGAAATATGTGAACAAAATGAGATATTTACCAAAGAAATAGAAATCATTCTGGAATTGTGTGATTTAAATTTAATGAATGAAATAGTAAAGGCAATAGAGAATCTTTGTTTAAGAGTAGAGCAAATAGGAGGTAGAATAAGTGAGTTAGAAGGCAGAACTTTTGAAATAATCAAATTTGCAAAGAATAAAGCAAAAAGAAAAATATCCAAGATAGTAGCAGAGTACCTAGAAGTTATACTCATCTCTTCCCAGTTTCAAACCAGAATTACCACCAAATTATAAAATAATCAACCTGAATAACCAACTGAAGACTATCTCAACAGATGACTTATAACTAAGATATAGTATAGAAGAAGCCACATTGAGACTAGTAGGAAGGGTACAGACACAAAAAGGGCTGGACCCCACCCAAGTGTGGTGTTTGAGAATCTGGAGGGATATAGGGACTCCATGAGAAGTAAGGTGTCTCAACATGGCCAGCCTGAGCCTGTCGTGCAGACTTTCTTGGAAGGCTCTTGAAGAGATCTGGGTAGACTCTGGATGGTGGAGATGAATGTGGACATTCTGAGCTGTGTAGCTTTGGAATGAGGGCAATTTACTACTTGCACATCCAACTGGCCCCACTGTTTTTGTACAGAGCCCACCCTCCACATGGCCAAATCTTGGTCTGTTTTAGCCTGATGATCTCTACTGGCCTCACCCTGAGGACTTCCCAAGACCCTGTCCCATCACAAAGGTCCACTGACCCCTGGCAGGTGCCTCAGGTCTTGATGTACCCTGAAACTTGCTGAGTGGCACCACACCTAGCACAGGCACTGAGTTTGAATCCATATCAACATGCTGAATATCACTCGCCCCTACCTGGTTCTCACTGAGAACCTACCTAACTCAACTTGTATATAGCCAGAGGCTCTTTCAGTGACTGAGCCTAACAGGCCACTGGTAGATGGAGGAGGATATCAGGGTGGCTTGGGCCTTTTGTTGACCTGATCCTAGGTCCAGTGCTGGTGGGAGCCAGCTTCTTACACAGCTTGGCCTCTCCCACATGCACCTAGGCTTAGAAGAGGCAGCCACAAGTTGTGGGTCCCTTATATCTTCAAACAGGTAGCACAGGCCTGTTCACAAGCAGTGCCTAACATTGACCTGCATCAGAGTCACTCCCAAGAGGCCCCAGAACCAAGACATACATAATCAAAATGCCAAAGGTTAAAGAAAAATATAGAATCTTATAAGTTATAAGAGAAAGACAATTAGTTACCTACCAGGGAGCTCCCATAAGGCTGTCAGCTGATTTCTCAACAGAACCATTTCAAGCCAGAAGGGATTGGCTCAAAATATTCAGTGATGAGAAGCAATGATCTATAACCAAGACTACTCTAGCCAGCAAGATCATAATTTAAAATGAAAGGGGAAATAGTTTCCCAGACATAAAAAAGCTAAAAGAATTTATCACAAACAAACCAGTATTACAAGAAATGTTAAAGGGTCTTCTTTGGGAAGAAAGGATAAATTTTTTTAAAAAGCTAATAAGAAAATGTGGGGGAAAATGCTCACTGACAAGGGCAAACAATAAAAGCAGTATATCAACCAACTCTAAAGCTAGTACAAAGGTTTAAAGAAAAATATAGGGAGATAATGTGTAATTACGACAATAAATTAAGAAATTACATACACAAAAAAAGCAAAAAATAATGACAGAAACTTAACCCTACCAGATCGCTGTACTGATTTTTCAGTAATTTCCACACAAAGGTGGAATATTGGCACTAGATGAAAGGTAGATGAAAGATAGAACTATTTTCTACAATGTCTCCAAGTTCCATCTTATTCTAACCAGTTGTTTGCATGTAACTAACATTTTTCTATATTATGTTTTTTTCTCTTTAATGCTCAGGAGCCCAGGTATAGGGGACAGTTAGGTTCAGTGCCTCAGGTCTGGTAGGATTAAAAGTAGAGGGGTGAGTAAAAATTGTAGTTATTTTAGAATATGTTTGAACTTAAGTAACCATCAATTAAAAATAGATTGCTATAAACATATACACAAAGCACACGATAAACACAAACCAAAAATCCATAAGAGATATACAAGAAATAAAAAAAAGTAACCTAAACATATCATTATAAAAAGTCACTGACATACAACAGGAGAGAACAAGAGACTAAGGAAAGAACGTAGAAAAACTACAGAAACAATCATAAAACAATTGATAAAATGATAACATACCTATCAATAATTATTTTATATGTAAATAGACTAAATGTTCCAATCGAAAGACAAAGGGTGACTTGAAAGGATAAAAATACAGGACCTATAGATATGCTTCTTATAAGAGACACACTTCAGATTGAGAGAGACACACAATTTGAATGTAAAAGTATGGAAAAAGTTATGTCATACAAATGTAAATGAAAAAAAAAAAGCTAGGGTAGCAATACCTACATATAATAAAGTAGACTTTAAAATAAATGTGTTAACAAGAAACAAGGA